GATTTCTTAACTGAGAATTTTTTATTTTATTATTATGCTTGCTCTTAGTACATAAGTTCTTTTTTTCCTAATTTAAAAGCCAATGTTCCAACAAAAAAAGAAGAAACAGAAGATATTATTTAAGATCGATTTGAAAAGACCACACATCTTGCATGTCTAGTCAGTTGTTGGAAACCTTCAAGAACATTTGCAACAAACTGGGAGTGGTTACTTGATCTGCAAGACCCTGCAAACCAAGAGGTTTACATAATATGCATTTTTCGTTCACATAAAAATAATTCCACTATTTTTTCGGGCATCAGTCAAAGGTCCCGAACCAGGAGAAGTTATGTGGTTGGAAAACAACACCAGCAGTTTTTACTGTCCTTGTGCTCCAGCAGTTGTGTCTGGGTGGAAGAGGTGCCAGCCTGAGTGTCTGTGCATTTCCTCTCAGCACTCGCTCTGCATGGTGCTGGGAACTCAGATTCAACCTAGAAAGCAGCTGCTTTTATAACTACCAATGCAAGAAACCTGAATCACACAAGACAGTGAAAAGAACCACAAGAAAACCATAACAAAGGCCGTCACTGATAATGGATTCTCCTCCTTTCACTGCAGAGGCTCTCAGACCCCCAACTCTCATCATTCCCCCACCATTAAATTTTTACATATTAAATTTGGGGCTCATTTAAATAAATTGAAGCAGCAAAGACCAAATCCCTTTCAAATAAATTTCAATTCGTTTTTAAATGAAGTTATTTCATTTTAAGGTAATCTTGAGAAAGCAGCACTGTGCCAGTATGGCTCCAATTAAACAAAATGCTATCATGGAGTGATGAAAAAAAACAAGTTACTGAGCCAGGCTGGCCTTTATATTCCACACTTGCCAACTACCTTTTAGTACTGCTACTCTGAAGGGTTATTCCAAGCAAGGCCTTAAATTGACATTTCCTTTTGCTGTAAAAATTATGAAGCTGATGATAAAGCTTTTGCTTTAATTTAAAATTAAAAATATAAACCCGCAAATTTTTTTCAATATTCCATAATTTTATTCCATTAAAGGATACAGAAAAATTCTCATAATTTGCAACACAGGCAGTAATAAATGTGTACTGTTATTAAAGGGAGAGAAAACAACTAAAACTTTACAATAAATAATTGACCTGCATAAACAAAAATGCATGAAAAATTAAAGTCATAGTTGGATTTTTTTTGATAAGTGGATTTCCAAGTGTCTAGAAGATGGAGCAGATACAACTTCTGATTTGCTGCATTATAAAAAAAAAAAACCCAAACTTGAATTGCTGATTCTTCGTGCTTGCAAAAATCAGCATTTGGTAAGAAATTCTCCAGAGAGACAGGAACATTTATCATTTGAGAAAGCACACAAAAAATACATTATTTCTTCAGTATCTGTTTTGCCAGATCATTTCACATAAACACCAGGGAAAGTCAGACAGTATTTCACTGTCACAACTCCTAATGTTTTTCACGGGTTTAGGTGTGGGGTTTTTTCCTCTTGCTTAGTAAATGATCATCTAGAAATAACAAACCAGAAAGCAATCTACACAAAACTGGGGGCAGGAGCCTTTAATGCAATCCAAGTATTTGGCACTGAAACAACAACAAACACTCTGAACCCCCAACAAAAAGTGTAAACACACACACAAAAAAACCCCCCAAACTAAACCCCCAAACAAATAAAAACCCCACCAAAACCCAAACAAACAAAACCAAAATAAAGCTAAACTGCACCAAAACCTACATAGTTTGAGTGAACAAGGCAAGAAAACTACACACTTGAAGCAAGACTGTCAGCTACAGCTTGAATTTTTTTCTCCTTGTTTTTACTCCGAAGAGAAACATTATCGTGTTCCTACTTGTATCTACTTCTATCAAGTCTTATCAAAATCAAGATATTTGCCCTTATGCTGTATATCAAAATATTTCAAGTTACTTACAAGTGTGTAAACAGTCCTTAGTCTCAGTCTTTCAACAAGGCTCTGGGTGCTTTGTACATCTGCAGAGCACTACCCCCATTTATGATGAAAATTCTTCCCACTCCGTGGGGTTTTCAGAACCAGTAAATACCACTGCCATCCTGATTAAAGAAAGGAATTCAACGGGAATCTCGTAATAATACTACAAAAGTGATCTCTCTGGTTGCCTGTTTGGAATGGATATATGCCTGGGAGGTGCGTTCATGGCTATAGTTGTACAAACTTCACAAATGCTGCTGTTTGAGAGGTTTTGTCATATACATGTTAAATCTATATATCCATAAATATATTTTATGTTTTACAAAGAAAAAGCAGAACCGTCATGCAAATGAAAGATCAAATATCCCAATCTATCCATTGTTT